CTGCCGGAATACCGCTTGCTGTCAGTGACACATAAATTACGTGGGAAATGAACAATTAGTTTCGTCAGGGTGGAAAAATAAGGCTTTAAAGAATGCTGTGGGAAAGGCCATATCAAATAATATAATATTAGTTGAGGGAATACTCTAACGGCCTCGAGGAGAAATCCAAATATTTTATCCTCCGAGGCTATGGGTCCCCACACTTTGCACTGGAGGTAGACTCCATCTGTCTTATATATTGTTCCTCTCGTGAATTATTCGAACACATTTTTTATAGCAAACTTTTAAGCCTTTTAAATATGTATTTATATTGAAATGAATCACCATGCTAAAATGTTGAAAATAATAAACTAATAAGGAACTTATACTTGCGAAACAAAAAAAAAAAACTTGTTTGAAATTTAACGCCAACAATTAACATCCAAATGGTAATTTACCAACTAAAAGTTTTTTACTTACAAATTTTCAGAAGCTGAATTGGTATTTATGTATATAAAAATAATTGCTACGAATTCTAATATACATAACAAAGTAAATGTCTGTCGAACTAATACTAAAAAGCCGTTAATAACTAAAGCAGGGATAAGAAGCAGGAATAATTAAAAAAAAAAAAAAAAGGAAAAAGCACAAGCGACAGAAGACGTTGACTTAGTAGACTAACATGCAGCAAGTTTACTGTGGATGTTCTGTGACCGATATTCTAGACTTGACAGTCTACAGATAACACTCATACTCAGATTTCCTTCTCACTCTGATCACACTGGCATTCAGATCACACTCAAAAACACATTTCACTCTTGGGTCTGATTCCCACTCGTTTGCCTCCGAGACCCGGTCTTCAGCATTCGCCTTGGCATCAGTCTGCCCCTTGTGGTGGCAATCAGATCTGTTCTCGGATCGAGTTCTCACTAAGATTGCTTTCGCACTTGAACTAGATTTGTATTCAGATGAGAGACTCAGACGAGACTTCTGCCACTTAATACTAACAACACGGTGACGCGTTTATATGTTTACACTCTGAGCAGCATGAATGAATCTCTGTCAGCGGCGAGTGTCGCCAGTATCTCCTTCCTAAAATATATCGAAGACGTCTTCTGTAGTGTTTTAATTTTTTTTTCTGTCGAGTTATCATAATCATTAGCTCTATTATCACCTTCATGCACACTATCATCACCATTGTTATCAACAACGTCAAAATCATTATCATCACCCCTCATACACTAGTAACCATCATTCATCAACACCCATCATCAACAGTTATCATCCATACCATCATTAATAACGTGGAGAGCGCCGCCAGCTGGTGGACCTGAAAATTCATGAAAGTTAAAATTCATGAAGTTACCATCAACTCCAGGAAGAATACGAGACTTACACCGACTGTTTGGTACTCTACGCATACTAGATGTACAATAATTCAGGAGGAAGTACAGGGAAAAACAACTTCACGGATTCCAAAGCACTTGTAACGAGCCATTAATTCCTAATGACTATAATTACAACTGAAATTTTTAGAGGGGTGGACCAATAAGCCAACCGAAGGCCTCGGTCAGATGACCCAAAACTTCAGGAAATACTTGTCCTGTTTCCTCACAAACCTTACCTATCCTAGCCTAGTAACGAGGATCAAGAGGACCTGAAGTAGTCCCACTAGATCGATCAACTTAAGGAGACACTTATGCTTTTTAACAGTCAGACACATAGGCTCACATCTTCCCTACTCTTTCCTACATTCCTAGCTACCAGGTGACCTTGGGCCAGGATAAGAATAAGGGCGCTTCTGGAATAATGACCTCTTTAAAGATCGATGGCCATTAAGCACAAGAAAGCAAGAAAGTGTCTGGGAAAGATCGACGAGCTGGAACTTAACCCACACAATTAGGTAAATAAAACTTGAATTATGCACATACACAAGCACACACTAAACACGTACACATACTTATTAAACACACACACACACGCACACGCACACCCACCCACACACACACACACACACACACACACACACACACACACACACACACACGCACACATACATCAACAGTGTATATCTGAGTTAATTCTGCGTCCAGAATATGAGTCATCACCATAAACATCTCACTAAGTAGTTACTAACTTCATATCATGAGAAGTATTCTACTTGTTAAAATTTTGAGCAATGTCTTTGATAAATACTTTGTATTCTAGTTGCAAGCACTTTAGATATTATGAGGTGTTAAAAACAAAATATCTCTCAATTAAGTTACCAAGCATCCTAGTTGTTGCTGGGATAACATCCCTGACGGAAGCCAATAGAAATACTAGGATGTGTTTTTCCCCAAACAGTACTGAAAGGAGTATCAGAGGCACTTCTTCATGTTAAGTGATGTTTAGAGGCAAAGAGAAGGAACTCCTTATTGTTGCTGAGTCAAAGAAAACTCTTGCCCAGACATAATAAGTGAACGGTCAAGCTTCTCGTCTAAGTAGTTGTCAGCCTCATAAATAATGGTGTTCTAACCTAAATATAGATTAGATTTTTTTTTGGGGGGGTTTCTATTTTTTAAACTTATTAAACGATTCAGCGGAAATATATGCAAGGTAATCTTAAATATTAATAACACAATTTGCTCAACCTCTTTCAGTACTAAAAGGAAAAACATCTGTCCTATTCGTCTTAGTGTTAGTAGGAGTTGCCGAGGATGGGAGGATATATAGAGGACCAGGAGTTTAGGAAAAAGGTGCCGTGAATGAGACGGAAGGACACAGGGATGTTATGGAAAAGGTCATGACTTTATGAGCCAGAGGAAACAGTCGATACCACTAGGTGGGAGGGCAGGAAAAGGTCATAATGATTTTTTTTGGAAACGACTGGTTCATGACCTCGAGGTGATATATGAGCGATTAGTAATACCTAATATTTTATTTTTTGCCTTATCTGTTTCGTCAAAAAAAAATTGTCTGTGTGGCAATGATTATGCAGATATTTTTCTCGGCATAGTACTTTAACTTCTTACGTGGTTCACGAATTCGTAATGACACAATTGCAAACAAACCATACCACGGGCGGGAATAGAACCCGCTATCAGAGAGTCATAAAACTCCAGACCGACGCGTTAGCCACTGGGTCAGCTAGCTACAATAAGATTCATCCAACTAGGTATATTTATACATCGTAGGAAGGTTAGCACAGGCACCACTGTGACCACAAATTCAAGTTTTTACAGACGAATCTCCCGCCAGCGTAGCCGTGACGAACTCTAGCTCAAGTACCGAGTCATTTCGATTTCGTGAGTCATGTTGACTGCTTTGAGGGGACTTGAGCTAGAGCTAGTCACGGCCACGCTGGGGGGAGAATCGTCAGTAAAAACTTGCATTTATGGTCACAGTGGTGCCTATGCTATCCTTCCTACAATGTATAAATATACTTAGTTGAATGAATCTTACTGTAGCCAGCTGTCCCAGTGGCTAGCGCGTCGGTCTGGAGTTTTATGACTCTCTGATCGCGGGTTCTATCCCCACCCGTGGTATGCTTTCTTACGTGGTGTTTCTTATATAAAAAAAAAACTTCAACACTTTTTAGAAATAGACATCCGATCCGAAAAAAAATAAAATTTTTAATTTTCCCTAAAGTGTCCATTGATGTGTTCATCAACTTGCCCAAAATTAAGTCTTAAAATAGCCCTTACCACTTTTATATAGATTAAATAATTCTTCTTGGATTAACTTAAAATCAGAAATGACCTCAATTTACAAGTAGATTTTTTTAATTGTGTCGTAATAACAGCCTACGTATGTTACTCATATATACCGTAATAAACCGAATGTTAATGATCATGTAAAATACGGAATTCCTTTTCATCTGTACAGGGAGACAGTTTTTCATCATAATTGCACGTAAACTCTACATTATTGTAAAGCAGACGTGGCACGCAGTTCTGCAGTACTGATATTTGCTCACCAAAATATTTTTCGATGACTTCGTCAAAGTTGCCAAGAAATGTATCCAAGAATGTATCCAAGAATGCATCCAAGAATGCATCCAAGAATGTATCCAAGAATGGCTCACAGCAGTATCCCTCACTACTAAAAGCCCAGTCTAACGTTAGCCTCTTTACTAATATGTATTAATGTAACTACACCTTACAGGCCGAATAGTCTGGGTAGACCGTTTATGTATTCATATGCTCTGTTGCTACGTCCATCTAATGGACATAGTGTGCACAATAAATTAACCGCTACTAAGAGCACTTACGAGGAACACCTCAGTTTATTTACATTCACTGTAGCAGATCTGGTTCCTTATAAACTTTTCCAATTTGTTCATCAGTTCATTTTATAGGTCCCATTCCTTTCCCAGCTGTGACAAAACTGTGCATCTTTGTAATGAAGTTCAAGAATTTAAGGGCGTTTGCTTTTCCTTGGTCTCCTTTCGGAGTGACTGTATCTTCTGTTCTATGTGTGCACGACTGTGAGGTCGTAAACAAAGATTTTTGCTAACAGCAGCTACTATTTTCGCAATTTAATGCACTCTCAAGAGTACTCTTGTGCCAAAATTCTGTAACAATGGGAAGCCGATGTAGTCCTGGAATGCGAAGAATGCGATGAGCAATCTAGTGTTCTAAAGTTTATCTTAACTGCTTAGTAGTATTCAGTAGCAGCGTGTGTTTAATGAGGTAACCAATGAGCATCCGTTTTTTCCTGTGGATACTGGACGTCAGACACCTCCTGGTTAACTTCAGATGTGATTTCATAGCATTTATATTCACAGGATAATGGAAATTTTATCCTAAAGTTTTTCACTGTGGTCTACTGCTTGTTTCCCAATAAACTGAGAAGTATTGCCTTTTTTTCGACTAGACTCAGAACTTTTCTCAGTTGCTTTACCGGGTTTGAGGCTATGAGATTCTTTAGTTAGAGTTGAGATTCTTCTTCAATATTTGTTATATCACCGGATATAAAGACATTCTGCTAACAGTAATGAAGGGAAGATACTGGGACAACACAAGCTTTAACTGTCACAA